CTGTAGAATCTTTCTTTTCTCTTAAAGACATTGAATCACAGACATGTGAATTTAATTAGCGCTGATATTTTGCCCTGTGGACTTTTCTGTGTGACTAACTTGTGTGGTTTTGGTTTGTTTCCCAGGAAAACCACAGAGGATGAATGGTAAACTACATGGAAAAGTCCACGTGGGCAGATCTCCTTCAGCTGTGGAGTTCAGCAGCAACGATCTCCACTCGTATGTTGTCGCAAACGATGGCCGATCCTACGTGGCCATCAGCGACATCCCACATTCCGTCGGGCCCTCACTGCAGCCCCTGTCGGCCCTCGGTGGTGCAATCGGATGGGCCTTCGCCCTGGAGCAGCCAGGCTTCAAGAATGGCTTCAGTATTGTTGGTAATGAGTCACAAAAACATGACAATCTACATATTAGGGCTAAAGTCAGAATTAGTTTTAACTTTTTTATATTATTATTTGTTTAAAGTGCAGATATTGTGATACCTTCGATGTGTTTTTGCTGTTGTCAGTTCTCTAACTCTTAAATGTCCCATTCTCTATGCTCTCACTTACGCTCCTCTTCATTACAAAAGTGTAGAATCTTGAAGCCTAAATCCATCGCAACAACTGTCAGTGCTTGTGTCCGCACAGTTGGTCATACAGCTGCAGTTTTCCTGGCCCGTTCCAGCCGAATTCTCCTCAGATGACCTCAGACAGATGGCGGAAAGCCAAAGTTCATTCAGGGCCAGGGTCTCAAAGCTAACCTCTCCTCTGTCCTGTGAAGGGGGGGAGTTCACACGGCAGGCAGAGGTGACCTTTCTGCCAGAGAATGAGAAGCTGACCATCAAGCAGGAGTTCAAAGGTATTGATGAACATGACCACCTGGTTGTGAGCACTACCCTGAACGGTCGGGTCCCCGAGGTCCCTGAAGGAGCCACAGTGCAAGTCAACCCTTTTTCGGAGATCTACCAGTACAGCAACAACTGTAAGTTACAATCTGAAAAATATAAACACTGATTCACTCAGTCTGACTCTAGTCATTTTCCCATATTTCAAATCAAGCAAACACTGATTCACTATCACCTGTTTTGACAGTGATCACATCCTCCTCCACCCGGGACTACATTGTGAACCTGCCTGACGGATCCACCGACACCAGGACGTATCAGTGGCGTCAGACCATCTCCTTCCAGAGCTGCCAGCACGACGAGTCCTACAGAGACATGAAACCGACCCAGATGCTCAACGTGGACCAGATATTTGTCATGTATGACTCCAGTAATGAGCTCATCCGGTTTGCCATGAGCAACAAAATCGGGGACATCAACGGTGAGGTCATGGAGACAATTCCCGTCTTCCTGTTTTGCTTTGAACACACTTCCTTCCTGGAGTACAATACACACAGTCTATATTATCCTGATCAAAAGATGGTTGAAATCAGGGTTATGGTTTGGGTTTTTCTTGATCCTAAAAACCACCGGTTTATGAAATAGTAACGACAACTTTTTTGGCCATGTTTTAATTCTCAGGCGGGCAGCCAGAAGAAAACCCCTGTTTCACAGGAAGACATGGATGTGACACAAACGCTGTTTGCAGACCAGGAGACGGAAACCAGTTTACTTGCCAGTGTGCTGCTGGTTTTAATGGTGATGGCCGTGTATGTTCTGGTAAGACTAAAGTGTGAT